TCTCTCTCTCTTTTTTTTAATTGCCGATCCTGATGTCAAACAGATGAATTCTGTAACCGATAAAAAGTTTCTATTACCGATCCTAAACAAGGTTAATCTTGCTGACAGCAACATAGCTTAACATCGGTTACCTTTATTTGTCTTTCCACTTTTTGCTTGAAACACGACAGCGCATTATTTTTATACGCCTTCGATTGGCCCGGTAAAAAGTATTGTTTTCATAGGCATTTAGTATTCTTTTTTGTTTAACAAGACTTTTTTTTTTGTTGCTCTTTGGAATTTGCCCGTTAGGTTCCTCTGAGATTAATGTCAGTTTTGTGTTTGTTGTATTTGCTTTCGTAAAGAAGGTGCATTGAATATTGAAACATATTCACTACGTTTATAACACAAAGCATGGAACCACAACAGCCTTTGCTCTTTATTTCGGGGCCTAAGCCCCACATACGGAGCTTTGTCTATATAATAATAATAGTAATAATAATAATAATAATAATAATAATAATAGTAGTAGTAGTAGTAGTAGTAGTAATAATAATAGTAATAATAATAATAATAATAATAATAATAATAATAATAATAATAAGCCCCACATACGGAGCTTTGTCTATATAATAATAATAGTAATAATAATAATAATAATAATAATAATAGTAGTAGTAGTAGTAGTAGTAGTAATAATAATAGTAATAATAATAATAATAATAATAATAATAATAATAATAATAATAATAATAATAATAATAATAATAATAATAATAAAGTTGAAAGGGACCTTGGAGGTCATCAAGTCCAACCCCCTGCTCAGGCAGGAAACCCTATACCATTTCGGACAAATGGCTGTCCAGTCTCTTCTTAAAAACCTCCAGTGTTGGAGCATTCACAGCTTCTGGAGGCAGATTGTTCCACTGGTTAATTGTCCTCACTGTCAGGAAGTTTCTCCTTAGTTCTAGGTTGCTTCTCTCCTTGATCAGTTTCCATCCGTTGCTTCTTGTCCTGCCTTCAGGCGCCTTGGAGAATAGCTTGACTCCCTCTTCTTTGGGGAAGCCCCTGAGATATTGGAAGACTGCTATCATGTCCCCCCTGGTCCTTCTCTTCATTAAACTAGACATACCCAATTCCAGCAGCCGTTCCTTATATGCTTTGGCCTCCAGTCCCCTAATCATCTTTGTTAATCCCAAAGACGAAGAATTGTGTTTTCGAAGAGACTCTCCTTTTGCTGTTTGCTAACAGATTGCTTTTTTTGTTGGAAGATTTTGTTGACATTCAGGCAGCACCTGCCAACGTCTTCACAGTGAGTTTATTCTCATTTTTCCATAACAAGCTGCAGTATAGACAGAGTTGTACTACTATTTTGCACTAAAAGCCACCATCTCGTATTCCTTCTTCGCTGCTCTTCGCATCTGGATTTGAACTCCGCCCGAACAGTCCGCTGCTTTTAAAAACATTCCAATGTTAGAATTTAAACCAAACACCTTACCAATTTTGGAAGAACTCCACCGGCGCGGTAGAGCTTTTAAATCTTTAATCTTTCCCCGAAGAATGAACACGTAAGAGTTGCCACAGGTTGACTTCAACCTGGGCATTGACTCTACCTGATGTAGATGCATCTCAGGCCAAAATTTGGGACGCAGGGCACCCGTCAATGCTGTAACGCAGTGGTTCTCAACCTGTGGGTCGGGACCCCATTTGGGGTCGATCGACCATTTCACAGGGGTCGCCAAGCAAGGCTGTCCGCCATTTTTTTTTGTCCGCCATTTTTTTCCCCCTTTTCCGGCGGGTGCCTTACCTCCCTTGAGCTGGGCCAGCTGGTGGTCGGCCTGCTCCGTCTCTGCCGCTTGCCAGCTACGCCTCGGCCGGCGCAGGGGGCGGAACTACGCATGCGCGGTGCTCCCGGGCAGGGAAAGTCCTCGACTTACGACCGGTTGGGTAGTCCTCGACTTACGACCGGTTTAGTCCTCGACTTATGACCGGTTTAGTCCTCGACTTAGGACCAGTTTAGTCCTCGACTTACGACCGGTTTAGTCCTCAACTTACGACCGGTTTAGTCCTCGACTTACGACCGGTTGGGGTCGCGACATTAAAAAGGTTGAGAACCACTGCTGTAACGTTTTCTTTCGATGGGAACTTCTGCAAAAGGGGGGAACAAAAATTGCTGCTGATCGGGTTGCGGGAAATCAAGTGTGGTTGTGTTTCCGAAGCGTAGAGTTTCAAGAGGCAACCGGAGGCGTTGTGGTTTTGTCGTTCAGATCAGCTGCCTGTCACTGGATCTGTTGTTGCCTGAAACACTAGAAGGCCTTTGATGTGTGCAGCCAATATGCAGTTTTGGGTTCTTCCTCTTCTGGCTCCTGAGTGCTTGTCTTCTGTGACTTAACGGGGGGCCAGGCCTTCAATTGAACAGAAGGCAGTGCAGCTACTCTTGATTTACGACAGTTCGTTTAGTGACCGTTCAAAGTTACAACGGCACTGAAAAAAAGGGACTTAGGACTGTTTTTCACACTTAGAACTATTGCAGCACCCCCGCGATCACATGATCAGTGTGCAGGTGCTTGGCCACTGACTCATATTTATGACGGTCGCAGTGTCCCGGGGTCACGTGATCCCCTTTTGTGACCTTCTGACAAGCAAAGTCAACGGGGGAAGCCGGATTCACTTAACAACGGTGCAGCTAACGTATCTCCTGCAGTCATTCCCTTAACGGCTGTGTCGAGAAAAGTTGTAAAATGGGGTAAAACTCACTTAAAAACCGTTTCGCTTAGCAACAGAAAATTTGGGCTCAATTGTGGTCGTAGGTCGAGGGCTACCTGGAATGGGTGGTTAGCTTCCCATTAAGGACAACAAACGGATACCCATTTTATTTCCGTAAACCCATTTGCTACATCTGTGTTCTCTTAATTTTTTTTCTCTCTAGATACTACCTTTGCATTTTATTAATCCACCCTTTTCAATGTTTGCTGATTGAAGCCCTGCTGTAATTTTTCATTCCAGATATTTTAACCTATTGAGTTCCACAACGGTGAATTAGTTCTATTTAGGAATAGAATAGAATAGAATAAAGAATAGAATAGAATAAGGAATAGAATAGAATAGAATAGAATAGAATAGAATAGAATAGAATAGAATAGAATAGAATAGAATAGAATGATGAATAGAATAAGGAATAGAATAAGGAATAGAATAGAATAGAATAGAATAAGGAATAGAATAAGGAATAGAATAGAATAGAATAGAATAGAATAGAATAGAATAGAATAGAATAGAATAGAATAGAATGAGGAATAGAATAGAATAAGAAATAGGATAGAATAGAATAGGAATAAAATAGAAATAGAACAGAATGTAGAATATAGGATAGGATAGGATAGGATAGGATAGGATAGGATAGGATAGGATAGGATAGGATAGGATAGGATAGGATAGGATAGGAGGGACCTGGAGGTCTTCTAGTCCAGCCCCCAGTCAAGCAGGAGAACTTATACCAGTGATGGCGAACCTTTTAGAGACCGAGTGCCCAAAACCCGCCCCCGCCCAGCTCCCACCCCGCCTGCCCGCAGGGCCACTCACTGCCTCCAAGGCCCACTGCAGATCGCCCAGCAGCACCATGGCGGCCACTCCCTCTGCCCGCGCCCCGCAGCATCAACTGTGCACGATGGGGCGTGAGGGCAGAATCTTGTCTACTCTGGCTGCCATGTCCTTGGCTGCACTGCTCTCCGTGGGCCACGCTCTGGGACGACTCTCCTCCAGGGTGTCTGCTGCTGAGGAGGGGGTCACGGGGGAGGCAAGGCTGGGGCAACGGCACCTGTGCCCACAGAGAGGGCTCCGAGTGCCGCTTCTGGCACCCGTGCCATAGGTTCCCCACCACTGACCTATACCATCTCAGACAAGTGACTGTCTAGCCTCTTCTTAAAAATCTCCACGATTTCTGGAGGCAAGCTGTGTCACTGGTTGATTGTCCTCACTGTCAGGAAGTTTCTCCTTAATTCCAGGTTGCTTCTCTCTTTGGTCAGTTTCCAACCATTGTTTCTCGTCCTTCCCTCTGGTGCTTTGGAGAATAATGTGATCCCCTCTTCTTGGTGGCAGCCCCTCAAATACTGGAACACTGCTATGATGTCTCCCCTATTTCTTCTTTTCTTTAGACTAGTGGAGCCCAATTGCCACTTCAGTTATGTCTAGTACTGCTGTACAGGCAATCTTCGACTTACGACCATAATATTACTACTCCTAGTGATAATATTTGTATGGTCATGTGTATAACTCCTTTATAATATAAGTTATTTCATGCATTCATTTGGTTCTAGTTCGGAGGTGCTTTTGTCCTGTGCAATAATGTACCAATAGCTTTTGAAACAAACTGGAGGACAAAACAAAGGATACTGTATGCTTTTATATTGCAAGACTATAAGATTAGAAGCATATCTCTTTTTTTTTCAACGCTTTGAATCACTCATTTATATTTGAACCAGCATTTTACTTCCAGAAATTACGTTTGAGAACTGTTTAGAGATTTGGGCTGCATTTACTACTTTGTTTTGTTTTCTCCGCGTGAACTGGCATAAATATTAATAATTAAATTGTATAAATTGTACAATTGTATAAATTGTACAATTGTATAAATTGTACAATTTAATAAATTAAATTGTACTCCCAGAAGCACGAAGCTGAAGACACTAGCCTGAAGATGACGAATGTGACTTCGTCGAAACGTCGCCAGGACACTTCCAATTTTACGCGGGAGAGAACCCGAATGACCAAAGACCTATATATATATATATATATATATATATATATATATATATATATATATATATATATATATATATATA